AACCGGTGGTGCAAGCAGTTGCCAGTTTTCCGAAGGCCAATCACTCAGGAAAATTTAAAGGGAAACATTTTAACCCACTTTATGAACACCCTTCGTATCATCATCCTGCTCCTTATCATTACTCCAGTCCATATTCTGTTTCCTATGGTGGGGGTACCGATTTGAACCCTTCTTATCAAGGAGGTAGAGGTTTTCATAGAGGCACCGGGAGAGGTAACAGAGGAGGAAGGGGTGCAGGTGGAAGTAGAGGTGGCAGCACTTGCCCAGCGATAGGTCCTGGAAGTTTTGATCAAACTTTGGGAGTGGCTGGTAAGAAGAATAGTGGGGTGATGCCTGGAGATGCGCCATCGGGTTCAAAGTGAGTTAAAAAGATGATCAGCAAAATATGAATCTCAGAAATAAATCTTGTCAGAGTAGTTTGACCTACGGATCCTCTTGTTATTAAGATTTGTAGAGTGGAAAAATTAATCCGTTCTTTTACCCATCGCGTTCTTGTTTCCACCCAAACTGTTGTGTTTCTGATTTCATTTGTTTTAAAAAAAACTGAGTGATAATAAAAAGATGGCTATATAGCTTGTCGGAAAACAATACTGATTGAATGCTGTCCTTGTTTTTAAATTTAATTTCATTCTGTTTGAAATCGAAAAGTGCCCAAAATGTCCAACGTGCTACCGTTCCCATTGTTCAAATCCCCTCACAAAGTAGTAGACCTGAAGTCCAAACCGAAACAAATGAAGCAAAGGATACGGAGAGAACCCATGCGGTAGATACACCTGAATCGCTAGAACATTGGCCAAAAGAGACGAGAAACGAAATGAATTTAAAAGAGTGGAAATTACTTCTAGAGAAGTGTGGTCTAAGTGAGAAATGGGCAAAGGTATGGTTGGGACTTACAAAAGGCTTCGATCAAGGTATTCCTGGACATACCTGGAAGGAGAATCGTTGGTTTACGCCAGATAATCATAAGTCAGCTTTACTTGTTCAAGACAAAATTATGAAGAATTTATACAAGGAAAAGAAGTTAGGCCGAATCTTTGGGCCGTTCACTCACAAAGAGGTGTACAAACGTCTGGGCTTCTTCCGATCAAATCCGATGGGGAGCGTAACCAATAATGATGGCTCACT